ATAATTTTAATACATTTACATATATACATAATAATTTCAGGATACTCTGTAACAGTTATTATTACCTGCTGTTTAATATACCAAACTGTAGTTTGGTATATTATTATTATTATATTTGGTATTTGGTATATAACTGAGTTTAAACGTCCTTTCAATTTACGCATTGGAATATTATTGCTTTTCTGTTGTGATATACAAAAGCTGGAGCTAAAAAAAAGGAAAAACAACTTTATAAAAACAGGCATTTTTTGCCTACAGCTATAGTTAGTAAAATAAAATAAAAAAGACAATGGTAAAAAAAAATACTCCACCTATTTCTTATAATAATAATAAACATAATCCTCATTATCATATGAAAAAGATGAAGAAATCCAGCACTCATGTTACTTAGGTGCACTTAAAATATTATTCCCTTTTTTTGTTGCTATATATTCAAGAGTAATTTGTTGCAGCGTCATTCCTTTTTACTGTTAATTGGAGAATTATTTTACACTGAATAATGAATTGAAATACCATTTTAAGAAAAACATAAATAACAAAGCAATATTGGAATATAATCGACATATAGTAACCTTAACGTTAAGGGGGTATGCTTTGAGTTTTCTATTTTGTCCAAGTTGTTCAGTTCAAGATAAAATTGGTGAATAATAAATATATAAAATGATAAATTAAAGAATAAGTAAATAGGCAACTTAATATATTCTGAGGAAGGAAAGAAATGTAGGTAAACATATGGACCTTCGTTGTGCGCATGAGCGGCAGTCATCCGGCAGCAGTCCCACAATTAGATCTAGCCTGTGTCGATGTTTCCCCTCACAGAGCTGCTGGGTCAGAAGCCATCTTCTGCGGTGAGACTGTAAAAAAGGTGTGAAATAACTTTCCTTTACTCTTAAAATCTTACTGCAGTTCGTTCCCTCTGTGCCGCTTCACTGGGAGGAGCAGTTTAAAAAGCAAAAGCTTAAGGGAAGTTAATGGAAAAGTGTCGCCCCCCTCTGGTAACTTCCAGGTAGTGCAAAGTGGGAGCGACAGGATCCCTGCTGCACCGACGTTTTTCACTTTCATTTAATTATTTCAGGAATGTAAACATGACATAGATGAACACAGATATTTCCGTGTCACCATGGTTGTGATATTTCAAACAGCTAACAGAGTAAAAACTCTTGATACTCACGAGCAACTTCAAAGGTTGTTCATATATATGTTTGTTTTTCAGTTTTCTGTTAGGAGGGGAAAAACATGTATACACACGCCCGTATATATATATATATATATATATATATATATATATATATATATATATATATATATATATATATATATATATATTTGTATGTGTACATATGAAGCAAAGAGCAAAAGTTTCCCAGCTGGAAACAAAAGAGCTCCAAATGACCGTGAGTCCTTCTCCTTTTCCGATCGGACAGGGATCCAATAAAGCTGATCATTTCCGCTCAGCCTTTTGTCACAGATCCCAAAGAAAAGGGGGTAAAAAACAAATGGGTGTCATTCTGGAAACGGCCTAATTGTGTCTGGACGGCCATAAAGTCATTAAAACTGGAATGCCAGACAGTGTATAGCAGAGCAGGCGTTTTTATGACACTGTCTCTGGCCGAGTCTTTGAAGTTTGGGTCCATCTGCGTCCACCCCAAACGCGTCACAACAGCACTGGTGTTGGACTCAATTTAAGCTTAGAAGAACAAGCATATCTACCCTTTTTTTCCCTCCCCTGTCTGTTTGGGGGGTTTTTTTCCCAGGATACTGGAATTTGCGCAAAAACATGTGTACCAAATGCTTTCTCGAGCATGTAGAGACTTGAGCCAGTGCTGCCATAAAAACATGCCGATTTACAACATAAAAGCAGTAAGATATCTTTCACTGCTAGATATGTGGTTTGAAGATAATTATAATAGTGCTCGAACCCAAACCCTTTAAACTGAGCGTCTGTTCACTGCGTAAAGCTTCAAGCTCGTCATATCTGTGCTTAGCTGGACACAAACACACCGGGTGCATAATTTTGAGCTTCAGCTGTCTCTTACTAGTGTGAGGGAGCGTGTATGTGCGCGTGCATGTGTGTCCTCTCGCCTTTCAGCGCTTTGCACCCCATAAAAGGTTATAGCCGTAATTGTCTTTTATGGCTGTATACAGCTAACAACATCCTCTGCCAAGAAGCAACTCTGTCCCCAAAACGCACACACAAAATAAAACACACACTCTAACAGATAGAAATAATCAGCTATGGATTCATTTTGAGTACGTAAAAAAAAACTATCCAAAAGTATTAGCACAAATAAATACATTCAAGACAACAGTTCTCAATATTCCTGCTTATCCAAATCAACATGGCGCAGACTAACTTGTGGATACTTTTACGCATAGAACATTTATAAATGAAAAACAAAGAAAAAAGGAGTCTAAGTTCCGTGCTTTGAAGATATAATTTGTTTTATTTTAATAAATAATACAAATTACATATATGACCAAACGTCAGCCGGTCAGCAGATCGTGCGAGGTATTCAGTGAGCAGCCTACAGCGTTTCCTCTGCTCCCACTAACAAACATGGTGTCCCTTAATTGGAAAATGTCAGTCCCTGAAATTCAGTCAAACGTGTTTATACAGTGATAGCAACCCTACTTTTGATCTGACGCCTAAAGAAAAACAAACGTATTGTAGGTAGTTGAAATATATAGGTAGTCAATGATAGTAATGATACCTGTGATAAGATATTTTAGGAATCTTTCTAGAAATCTGAGCGTTTTAGACACAAATGCGAGCTATTCCCACCCCCCACCCCAACCCTACGGTTCTAAAGTTAGTATCAAATTCATGGTCATCTGTCATAGCTCTATCACTTACGGATAAACAACAAAGTTTACACATTTCTTCCACAAACTATACGTGTAGACAACAAATATAACTAAACGTAGCACACACACACACACACACACACACACACACACACACACACACACACTCTTAGCTAGGAACATCCTTACACAACCAAGCATATTTAAAGGAGCAGGCCAACTAATATAACACTTTAACGAGGTATTAATTGAAATCAACGTAGACAATTAAAAACAAACAAAGGAAAACAATGGGAACTGTCAAAATTGTGCAATTTAAAGGTAGTAGCATCAAACTAATCTCCCACATGCTTTTTTTTCCTTTACTTGACAAATAATCCTTGAAGATGTAATATTGTACAGTAAGACAAGATAGTTTAAAAAAACCAGATGTCCAGCTGATTCTGCTCACAGCCCAAAAGTAATCCTAGGCCAATCTGCGCGCTTTTCATTCGTCTTTCGGCGCGCCGTCCTTGTTAAATTTCTTCATCTTCATCCTGCGGTTCTGGAACCAGATTTTGACCTGTCTCTCGGTGAGGTTCAACAGCCGAGCCACCTCGTACCTGCGATCCCTGGTCAGGTAGGTGTTAAAGAGGAACTCCTTCTCCAACTCCAGGATCTGGTGCTTGGTGTAAGGGCAGCGTTTTTTCCTCGTGGCGCTGGCGTGGAGCCAGTTGGACACAGGATTATCTGGAAATATATGTTTGGGGGGGAATATTAAACACTGGTTCTAATCTCTGAAAATGATCAATATCATAATAATCCTATAATAATGCTTCAGTAACAGAGGTGAAAGTGATAGTTGTGCCATGCTAAATACAGCTGTCCACCTTTCTGCACTCCATAACATCTGATACTGCAACGTGAGCCCTCGACAGCCTCCATAAGGTAATGGCATGTTCAGAATGCCATCTGACATTGCGCACCTCTCACCTCAATGCTTTTATGAATAAAAATAGTTTTAAGATAAAAGAGCGGGCAGCAGAGTGACTTACTTGGGTCCAGGCCCGGCTTGTCCTCTCCATCTGCGCTCAGCTCGCCTCCTTGCGCGGACAGCTCGTCCTTCTCTCCGGGTGACGGTGTCGCCACTGTGCCGTTGGTGTATTCGGAGAGCAGTAGCGTCGTGTGCGATCCCGGCGGCGTTCCCAGACCCTCTGGTTTGATGGCGTAATGGTGGTGGCTCGTCGGTAATCCGGGCATAGAGACTGGCTCAAGGAGCCAGGACTGGTAGCGGCCGTCTGTTTCCGCGCCCATCGGGCCTTGCGGATGTCCGTAGTGGTGATAAACTGAGGAGACGGTGCCTGGGAACTGAGCTGGGACGTGGTTCCATGATGGCCCGAATACGGGAGGTTTGGACGGGAAGGCGCAATTACCGAGTTCGCTGTGATCCACCACAGAGGCGGGCTGTCTCGGGTGCTGGAGCCCGGCACCGGGAGGGTACCTCGGGGCGGAGAGCTCCTCGCTCTCGGGTAGGATGAGGGAATCGACGTAGTAGCTCGTGAGCGCTCCGGACGTCGACATGGCAGGGAAATTAGACCGATTTTACATGTACGCAGTCATACAATAAGATACATGCATAAGAAAACAAAAAGCACACATTCCCCAAAGCACACACACATATATGCACGCGCAGTAAAGCGCAGCCTCACAAAATAACAATGTGGAGAAATCAAGTAGCAACTTGGCCCCATGCACGGAGAACTACAGTGAGGAAAGTAATGGGGAGCCAAGGAGCCATGCCATTGGGCAGCTGAGACACGTGATCATAAAGCTGAACAATAAAAGATAAATCAATCCTTGCAGTCATTAAATACTCAGCCTGTTCAGCTATAACAAGCACTGTTTTTTATAAATGATCAGGATTTGGACATCTGCAGAGAAAGAGATAAAATTATGAATGAATATTAAAAAAAAAGAAAAGTCAACAATAACACTGCTACTTACAGCCATTCAAATCCTTTGCTTAGTTATCCAAAACGTTACAATATGTATTTGGAAAGCTTATTTTACGAGATATTTTATTGGACAAGTAAGCGCCCCGCTGCTGCAGGTATCCAAAACACATTAACAAAAAAATCCAGCGTATTAAATAGGAACTTTGCAACTAGAATACTGAAGTAGTGAGATGATAAATTACAAGCAAAACACATTACGCTCTGTTTTTATTTGGACTCCGTGATCTCAGGGAAATATCTTCCAATGTGCGAGTTTTTTTATTTATTTTATTTTCTTTTCTATCGGATCTTCATTGGTTGTTGTACAAATTTTAGAAATTATATTATTATAATTATTATTATTCAATGGTGCAGGATATTTTTAAACCTACGTTTCACGAGTAATTTTATTATTGCTCCCTAAATTTATTATGACTTTAGTAACTTTTAAAGAAAGGATTTAAATTTTAGGGAAATTCTAAATTTTTTTTATTCTAAAGTTTATAATTCTATTAATTCAAAGCCGCTTTTTAAATATAAATAAGGGATTTGGAACATAATATTAAAGGAAAAGGTGGTGAGATATTTTCCTTTAACAGTTTGTTTGGGTTTATTTTTATCTAGTCAGTTAGATGAAGCCGATTTAGTAAATAAATGTGTTAAACTAAAAAAAAAGGTATTATAATTTCGTAAGCAATTCATTGATTCACGGGGTAGGAAACAACCGAGGCGCAGGCTCTTACTTTCTACACTTTCAACTTTTCAAATAATAATTTTTATAATTGTTTAACTAAATAAAGAAGGCCTAAATTAAAGACGGGTGGCGACCCATAAACAGTCCTTTAGTTTTTGTTTAATGTGCTGATTTTTTAAAATAAATAAATTGATTATTTTCTATCGTGGAGGAAAAAAGTATCCGTTCTTTGTTTATTTTTTTTCCTTAATTTTGTCATATGCAAAACCTTGTTTACAAACAAAATCTAAATTACAGTGGTGTAATTTAGATGTTCTTGATCCCTATATGATAAAGGTTTAAATTAGAAATATAAACTTTAAATCCTTGTATTAGTAAAACGTTTAAAAAAACTCGATTGCAGTCCAGCAGTAAGCAATAATACACACTAAATGAACCCTTTTACATCATTTGATGAAGAATAAAAAGAAAGGCGAAAATAATGTATTTAATTTCAATTACATGTATTTAGAACAATCACGGTAAATGATAAATAGAGTCCCAGACTGTTTTTAACTCAACGCCCTGTACTGTTTACACCGCCGTTATCACCCGCTCCCCTATTGCATGTTGGTTTCATCGCCGCCATTAACAAACGGACTCTTAAAACCTGCCAGCAGCTCGATGTTACCTTTAAAATGGAGCTTACGTTCATTTGAACTGTGGTCTGGGTAATTTTCACCCTCCACCCTTTTAAAAGCTGCTGATCAGTTTAAGGTCATGTAGTGACACTGGAGCGTCTAAACACATAAATACATTTGTAGACATTTAATGCCACACGTGAGAAATGTTAAACATAAATTAATATCATGGAAAGCCTTATATTCATATATATCCAAAATGTTTGAAATTTTGTATTTTTAATATGTGGAATGAACTAATAATTGTTTAGAAATATTGTCTCGTAGTAATATATTTATTAGGCCTACCAGGCGCACAAAACAGCAAACCCAATGAAAAAAAGAGGTTTGCTTTTATGAGTTCTTTTTATTATATCCTTGCCTTAAAGTAGTCGTATGGGTTTAAAAGCTGCAACTTTGGGTTTTGCTACACGAGTCTGGTGTTTTATTTCATGCAAGCATATAAACAGAGTCTGGCCAACACCCTTACAACACCACAGGGAATTCAAGCCGTGTAGATTCTCTGCATTCTGCACTGCATACAGAAGAGGATGTGGGATAGGAAAGACTCCGAGGTGTTCAAAATGTGCAATCTGTTTTCTTATCCCTTCTTTGCTGTAGTTGCAGAGTCTCTGACCAGCAGACATCAAACAACCGAGAAGAGGACATGAGCAGCTGCAGTGCGCCTATTTGTGCACTAAAACCTCGTATGGACAAACAAGAATAGACAAACACCTTTGCAGCAGGAAAAGACTCCACTTCGCCAACGGCTCTCAGGGCTGTAAAAGCTTTTAAATCAGAGTGTCTTTTTCAACCCCCGCGGTTTACCGCAGGGGCTATTCACTTCTTTTGCTTCTGCAGATAACAGCCTGTCTGGCGGATCTGAAAATCGCCATAAAGCCCCCCATTCCTCCTCCTTTTGTGTTGGGAGCCACCATTGCGCAGCGGAAGCATCCGGTCTCATTGCCCGCGGAGGTCGCTGTTGCCCCATTCACCTTCCCCTTCCCCTCCACTGCTGCAGTGGTCGTAACCGAGGCCTTGTCTGGCGTGTCTGCGTCACTACTACCAGCAGAAAACGCCATAAAGCTTAATACCTAAAGCTCAGACGCACGCTGCGCCTGATTGTTGATCACATATATCAGCCACCAATGCAGTTTATATTTTATTTCACCATATTGAAGAACACGTTTAAGGGAATACAAGGAAAATAAGGAAGAGATTAGACCCAGACTAAAAGCAAACAAACCCCTCCCTAAATTATTACCTATCCATCTAAACACCTATTCACGTGTATAAAAAAAAAATAAACACATAATTCCCACCATCCTCATTTCTCCAAGCTGCCTTCTGCTTGCTCTCGACGTTTCCAACTGGGGCAATTAAGACAGTTTCATGTTGCAGAGTTAGGAAATGGACCCCAACAACATGAAACTACCTAAACCACTCGACAGTCGATCAGGGGCCTCAAGTGGAACACAATCGGCCGGTTCGCAATGCGCCTTGGTGATCACTTCCGTCATAATGTTTCAAAAAAGCAAAACAGCGCGCATTTATACAGCATTCTACATATTCCATGTCTAGATGTGTCTCTAAGACAAAGCAAAACAAAACCAAAAAGCAACCAGAATCACAAAGGCGACTGGACTCACCCGAATCCTCAATGTGTTTATCTCCTGTAATCCCAGACAGAAGCGCATTGGAACAGTTTATCCACAATGCATTCGGATTTTAATAGCCTGTGAGCCAGGCCTCCTCTCCGTGTGAAAGGCTCTCTCACGACTGAAGCAGCTCTTCGAGGAGAGGGAGAAAGCTCATATACCAGCCAGTCATAAAACTCTACAATAGCCGGCTGGGCATGCAGCAGGGCGGCTTATACAGCCTAATATCTTAATTATTTCCGATAGCCAGTCTCAGAAACGCTCCATTCTCAACAAAACAAAAGAATCCGCAGTACTAGGAAGTCTGTTTGATTTTTTTTTTTTTTACTTTGATTATTTATTCAGGAAACACTTTTTTTTTAAAACCTCTTTAACAAAACATATAATTATAGCCACAAATTCAGGCAGCTAGTCCTGAGCCCGAGCTGATAATTTATTGGACATTACACAATAAACAAATAAACAAAACAAAAAAAAATACAGGTTCATCTATACACAGAAATATACAACAAAAATATTCCTCCTTCTTCCTAGTAGGAATAAAGTTACAATTTATACATGTATGAGGTACATATAGAGACGGCCGATATCAGGAAACCACACATCTAATCACATTCGGACTGATTTGCATTGACTCAATATTAATTGTGGTAATTGTGCATTTTAGAGGATTTTTATTATTATTTTTGTCACGCAATTTCAAATTCTCAGAATGGAGAATTTTTTTATTTATTTCAAATTTAGAAGTAAGCTCAATAGGAATTGAATCTATATGAACCCAACAAAAAAATAAAGCATGGTGAATAATTTGCGTTTTTACGCGTGTGTGTGTGTGTGTGTGTTGGGGGGAGGAAGGGGGGTGTAACTGCACTGATTTAACAACACGATCCAGTCCCACGACAGAGGTAATAATACAAAAACACGTCAAAAAACAGTCAGAGCTAAAACACCCAAGGACGGTTTTCTCAGTAGGTCAGATACGATAAAGGGCGATGAGAGAATCTCTCAGATAAATGAGACATTGTGCGTGGGGGTGAATCGGGAAATGAATTGTAGCCTTTCAATAAATGTATCTTTTTTTCTTGTATCTCTCTCTCTCTCTCTAATGACTGTTTATCATGAAAATCCATAATTGGAGGTGAGCTCCCGGATCCTATTTTCCCGCGTCATTTTCTTCAATTTCATCCTGCGGTTCTGAAACCAGATCTTGACCTGTCTATCCGTCAGGTGGACGCTCTTGCTGATCTCTAGGCGGCGCTCTCGGGTCAGGTACATATTGAAGAGGAACTCCTTCTCCAGCTCCAGGGTCTGATGCTTGGTGTAGGGGCAGCGTTTCTTTCGACCGCTTTTAGCAGTCAGCCAGTTTGCCGTGTTTTCGCCTTTTGTGTCCCCTAGAATGATGTCAGAGAGAAGGATGTTTTAGAGCAGTGCAACATGAAGATCATAGTAGTGCTCACCGGGGAAACATAGTTCACCAAAACAAGTTTGCGTGGGAAATATGTGCGTACTCTTATGTAGCTGCATTAATAGATTTTAAATTTTAAGAAATGTTATCCTCAAAAACACTGAACGTGTTTTAAGTCTCGCCTATATAGTCTAAGCAAAAGCTTTTTTTTGTCAACCTAAGCATAACAATTTACGTATTTACATAAATGTAAATTGCCTAGATTGAAATATCTAGATTTTGTTTATATATGAAAATATATAGGTATGAAAATTTAAGAAAAAGTGATTGCATCTTCCAAAAATTTACCAGAGTGTAGTTTTGCCTTTGCGCCACTATGCCCTTATGCTTAACAATATTTAAAGACTAATGGGTAGATTTGAGATAGTAGACGTTTATATTTAATCTTTAGTTTTTGAGTTCACTGCATTTATTGGTTTATTTTGATTTTCTTTTTCTCTTGTGCAAATATGTGGCGGGGGGACTGTAGCTATAAACGCACCAAAACAAACATGCGGAGGCCTATTAAATCCCAACTATTAAAATTATCATTAAATTAGCCTATTAATTTAGCCAGTGTCTTTAAAATATTTAAATCTATAGTGTTTTTTTTAAGCTGCTATATCTGCAGACAACTTTTGTACCCACAGCGCAGAGGGGATAACATTTTAAATTTAAAGAAATTTCTAAGTAAATAATTCCTAGTGCCAAAACCAACTAAGGCCTTTGCCAATTTACGCTACGATCAATTTTTAATCCCAAAATGTAAAAATTATCTGACGTGATAATTTTTTGATAGACAAATCTAAATGATAAGTTATTAGCTTGTACTTTATTATAAATAATTCTTATAATCTTAGTGATCTGTGCCTAATATCATGTGTTTATAAACATATGCAACCGATTTTTGCATTTACTGAATCATATTTAGTTACTTTAACACGGTTGTTTTATGTCCTACTCTGCTAACATGAAACAATTGTTTAAGTAACTAAATATGATTGAGTAAATGCAAAAAAACGGTTGCATTATTTAAGACCTGACAGGTGCCATTAAAAATCGTCACTCTACCTGTTTTTTCACCAAAAAAAGGCCGACCACACCTGGACTGGGCTATGATTACCTTTATTGGCCTTTGCTGCACTCTCCTTCCCATTCTCCTCTGCCTCCTCTGCAGAGGAGGCTTCGCCTTCCGAGGAGTCGCGCCCCTCCTCGGTGCCCAAAGCAGCTTGGGGCGGCAGATCTGCGGCTTCCTCGACGTCCTTCCCTTTCTTCTCCGTGGCCGGAGCAGATGTAGAGGTTGGTGGCGAGTGGAAGCGAGCCAGATCACTGGGGTGTTGTGGACCAAAATGGGAATGAGAAGGGTTTGATTGGGGGCCGTTGTTGGCGCTGTAAAGTTTATGAGAATGTGCGTGCGTCTGAGACAAGCGGAAGAAGCCCGGCACAGGCACCGACCCCCCGCCGCCCCCCGCGCCGCCGCCATCGTTGACTGTACAAGAAGAAGTTAATCTTGAATATGTGAGATCTTCGGCGGTGGACGCTTTGGGACACTTGGGTTGCTCATATAGGCAATAGGTGCTCTCTTCCTTGATATTCTGCGGGAAAGTGCAGGGTGCGACCTGGGGACCCACAGAGTGTTCTTGGTCCATACGGCATGACCTCTGCGCGTCCATCCACATCTCCATGCTGGACATGTAGGAACCTGAGGCGGGGACCATATTTTGGGGACCCACCTCACTCCGTTTGGTCATACCTGGGAAGTATCCATAGTTGTGTAGTCCGTAAGGCACTTCTGCTGTGGCGCTGTGCGGCACGCACACTGCGCTGCCAGCATAGTGACCTCCGCCGCTCTCGGTGCGGGCACTGATGAGGGAATCCACTAAAAACGCGTTTCCAGACGGGCTGTCCGAACATGACATTATTGTGGTGTATTTTGGCGAAGGGAGAAGATAGCCCTTTCTGGCTGACATTTCTTGTGCAAAACATGCTGGATATGATTAGAGGCACCCCCCTCGCCGCTGAGAGAACAGTAAAACCAATGAAAATGCAGGAAGAAGGAACAGTCCCCTCCCACTCCGAGGCTACGTAGCAATCTGAAACAAATCCATCATGGAGCTCAGGCAGAGGAAGAAGAGAGCAGAGCAATCAGTGTTTTTACTCTTCGGCTTAATCCACAAACTTGAGCAAAAGCGATAGATGCTAAAGTCCAACACTGCTTATGATTGACAAACCGTGAAAAAAATTTCGACAGGTTTTATTTTTTTTTAAAGAGTGCTTGTAAATCAAATATTACCACAAACCTCAACAATCAGTGGCAGCAATTATTTGAATATTTTACATTTCAAGCATTATAACTGGTAAATCTAGCAACCATTTAAATTGGAACCAATCCTAAATCCACATAATCGCCATAACTGACATAGAGCTAAATTAGAATATACATGCTTTTCATAATAGTGGACATTTTTATTTTTAATGTATAGAATTCATATAACCAACCAACAAAGACATAATAGCAAAACGATGGGTGTCAGTGACTGTAAATATTTTTTTGTTTTGTTTTTTTTAAAGACTGTAGAGAGGATTTGCCATTGATTTAATCAGGTCTGATCTATTGCATCTTTGAGCATGAGGACAGTAAATGATCAGTCTGATATGAACTATGGTATGGTATGAACTAAAAATGCAATTTCACACGTTTTTGCATATTACGCATCTTTAATCAAAAAAGTCTCCCCTTTTATTAATGTTTTGGCCAAATCGCACATATCTTGTCTAAAATTATTCAATCACATAATGCTCGTGAGATTCAAATCATGTTGAGAAAGGAAGAGGCCACCATAAGGCTCTGCGCGTAAAAGATAGGGACATATTGTTTTTGACAAACAAAGACTAAAAACTAGCGCCTTGCTTTCTTGCTAAACATCAAACTCCTTTAATTACTTTGATAATTCAGTTTTCTCTTACAGAGGATGATCATCCTACAAGTAGTAAACACACTAAAAATGAATTTAATGGAAAAGTATTATTCATTTTAAAAATGTAAATCTATTCAAAATCTTATCATCTTTATATAGGTTTATACATGCTATTTATTTACATTTTTGGGTCCCTTTTAAGTTTAGGAATATATATAAGCTTTATTTAACGGTATATTGTTTATTCAAACCCTAGAAAATATCAATAATGATAATATTATTATTAACATGTCTTTCCATTTTTTCTTATTTCTATTAGTATTATTTCTTTTTGTTGAACCATAAAATTACTATAGTATAATAATCCTAAATTATGACAATAATAGTTTCATCTTTATTTTTATTAATTTCTTTTTTATTATTATATTGTAATAGTGTTAGTTTTGATAAAACCAGTATCTATCTTTCTATATAAATTCCTAATAAATGTCAGTTACGCCAAAACCGCCTTTTGTGCCTAACTTATTCTTTAGTATAATGCCAAATTTAAATGTAAAAATATATATTTTTTTTTCCTAAAACATTTTAGGAGTTCCTTTGCGTTCTCCTGTTATCTCCTTTTTTTTCCTTTTTAATCTGGGTTGTCTACTTTATTTTATTTTTATTTGTTTCTTCATTTTTTTGCTGTTCTGAAATTAGAACATTTATGAATAGGTCTTTTTTTTTAATCGATGCAATTTACTTTCAAACCTGCAGTCTTTTCCGCGTCGATGACCGACATTTGTCAATTGCTGCTGCGCCTGACACAAGCAATGCTTACTCTCAGTTGTTTGGATGTATCAATTTAAAGCAACACAGTTTTATCGGATCACCATTTCACCAAATTTACTCACAAATAACCGCGACAAAATGTCTATCTCTCCTCACAGAGGCCAGTTTCCTCTTAGACACACGATCCAGACAAGAAACTGAAACCACCGATTAATAATGCGCACACTTCATGTTGGGGAGGCATTCTTCATGCTGAGGAAGAGGAAGTGGAGGGCAGCTATCGATATCTTTGTGTTACCGTTATTAATTGTTGCTATTAAATCTTCATTTTCACAGCTGCCGTGCTATTATACCCTGAAAACACTTTACCTCAACCGATGGCTTTGATCAGACCCATATAATGGTGGCCGAGGAGGCCGCTTGACTCGTATCATGTTCGTCTTGAGTGCAGTTATGAACAATAATGCGGCGTTTTATTACATCCAGCGGAAGCATTTATTTTTCACGAGAGACAGACAAAGGGTGGTTGGGGTTGAGGGAGAAAGGCTCGATCCAGAACTGACACCGAATATAGCAAAAGTTTATCTCTGCTTTGCAGGAAGGAAAAGGGAGACGCGGCTGCAGCTCTATCAAGAAAATCGAGCCCTTTAATAGCAGTTTTTGGGTGGGATCTGGCACGCAAACACTGTGCGTAAAACAGAACAGATTACATTTTCAGAGCTGGGTGGTGATATGTTTTTGTAAGTAAGAATCAATGGTGTATGTATGCTTTGCACATCTGAGTCCAAGTTTTATCAACTGAAGAGGGTTAAGTTAATGCAAAACATTTGGACTGGGTGCAAAACTAACTCTCCAGGAAAAAAGTTGGCAAGCTTAAATCTAAGCCACTAAAACGGTCAAGCTCAGCAAAATGAAAAGCACGTGTAGCATGGATGTCTTAGAATATTTGTGTTGCCTTATTAGGGCTTGAATGGGACTTTTTGTTCTACTAAGTTGGCACCAAAAACACATCTACAGACAAAATTGTTCCCAATTAAATAGAAAAGGCATTTTTGCTGCAGAGTTTTGCTTGAGAAACCCCTACCTGCATTCCGTTTGGAGCAGCAGCTCCAAGGCCATGACTTTGGTCCCAATACTGCCGCCCTGTGGCAGGAGCGCCAAGTCCTTGGTTCAGGGGACCTGAATCGAGGGGGGATATCCTCCAAAATGAAGTCAACGCAGCAAAGCACAGCAAAGGCTCTCCTGCCATCCTGTCCTCTGCTTGTCGTTGCTGTCGCTTTGCGTGGTAACAGTTAATAACCTTGGGTCTCAGACGGTTTATTGCACCAGCACTCCAATTGTACAAATGCTCCAGACCCTCAGACAGCTTTTATGGCAGCGTTGCCGTGGTAACGGGGGAGGATGTCCCGTAATTAGGGACGGAATTCCAACGCGCAGTAAAGGATGCGCATGGCGAGGCGAGGGAAGGCAGGCAAGGCCGGACTATGGCAGAGAGAAGCAACCATAAACTTCAGCCTCTCTCTCCCCAGCGTTTATGGCCCTTTTGACTGTCATATATGAACGCCAATGCGCTGCGGCCAGCTCCCATAAACACTGTGATAACAACAGCAAATATGGCGACCCCCTCGCCCGAGGAGCTGCCGCTGGACGAGTGTTTCCAGGGCCAGTCAGCAAAATGACAGCTGGGACGTAGAAAAACTGTTAAATGATCCAAAGAGAGAGGGCTGGAAGATATTTTCACCTAAAGATCTTAGTCTGAAAAAAGCAAGAAATTAAACGCGTAAAAGTTTTTTTTTTCTTTTTACTAAAAGCAATTTTGTTGGTTAAGGATCAGATGAAAAATGACGTGAGGTGGCTTAAAGTTCCCACAGAGCATAATATAAAGACACATTTCAACTGTTTATGGTTCATTTTAACTTCAAAAATCAATATTATTTTTGATATTTGCGCTGAATAGTCCAGACAAATTGTCTTTGTTTTGCTTGAGCTCGTCTAAACATTGAAACCTAGAGCTCTTTGGGTGACCTTGGATGGTTGGGCTGCTCCCAACTTGCATTTGAGACGACTAATCTTTTGCATGTGATTCCCCTCTATTGAATCCTGCATGTGTGGGCAACCATTTGCCACTATTATGCGCATTTAATATGTTAATCCTTTGTGCGTAAAAAACTTTACCTTCGTGCATGTGACACATGGCGGTGAAATCAAGCTAAAAAAAACAGCATGTAGGAAAGATAATAAAATGGCTTAATTTGGAATTAAGTTATTTTGCAGAAAGCATTTAAACTGGGGGTTATTAATATTTAGAAATAAAATATAATACACGACTTGGGCAGACCAAAGCTGTTGGTTTAATGCGTTGACCCTATTTACAAAAGCAAAAGAATCACGAGTCACGGAAGCAAACATGTTACCAACAACAGACAAAACCCCACACTACTCCCACCCTGTGCAAATCTGTTAATTAGACAAAGAAAGGGCAAAGTAACTTTATATTCAAATGACCAATACAGTCTAATAACACGAGGAATCGTTGAAAATGCGTCCATCTTTAATCTATAATTGGATGAAAAGGAGATTTAAACAGGCCAACTAATCCTTTCTTTCTGTGTATTTATTCAGAGTAAATGTGGAGACAATATCTTTTCTTTTGTAAAAACAGAAGAAGAAAAACAGCAAAGAAACAATATTAAATTATTCATCAGGAATCGTGGAACTCGGTTTTATTTTTTTATTTATTTGGAAATATAGTATAATACACAATAATTTGGCCATAACAAAGCAACTGTTCAATGCGATTACCCTGATTGAGGCTGCAATTAATGCACACTCTGAAAATGACAAGAACCTGCGTGAATACATGAAGAGAAATCCAACAACAGATCAAATCCTTTCCCTGCTAAATGCAAGAGAAGGTTTCAACATGTTTGAAAAACAACGTCAAATATGGGTGCAACTTAAAAATCAGAACCAATGTCTACATGTAGATGAAAGGTCATTGGATGAAATAATTTTATCAAGTCTAAACTTAGATGTCTTCAGGCTAAATATGGACTGGATTAGCCAGGTGTCACATTTCTGACGTAGGCAACATTGTTCAGGTTAAATGCAACTGAAACTTAAAAAGCAATATTTAGAGAAAAGTGGAAAGAAGCTTCAAACATTAAAAAAAATTGAACACAAAATCTTTTGTAAAGCCTTGAAGGGGTAATAGCGTTAAGACGCTTCAGAAAATTTAATTTACTACATGAACAAAATGAAACAATTTGTTTACAGCTAAGAACAAACCTTTTGCAAATTTTAAGGAGAACTAGACTTATTGATATCTAGATTCGGTTGAAAAGTGTTTCTAACCATTTTTGACATTTAGTGTATTTCTGTAGGCTAAATTTGGGTGGTTCTAAAGACCTAAAAACATCCTATTGGTCTGAAAAAGACAGTTTTCTTTGGTAAAAGTGTATGAAGACTTTTCTTTTTCAAAACTTAACAAGCCATATTTTTGAAAGTGGCAACGATTTTTTCAACTTTACTGCACCATATAGACCCCTGCAGCAACATTTCCTAAGACTAAACCTAGGAAAAAATCACACTTCATCCCACCTAAGCGACACCTAAATGTGGTTAGAATGTCAAAGAGGAAAAGAAATCCTGATTCTTTTGATAGTGAAAGAATACTGTTCAAACTGCCTAACCAGTTTTGATACACAACGTCTTATAAATCAAATTTGGACACAAATGGTGCACTAAACATAAGACACATTGTGTACTCTATTTTTCTGTGCTAAAAAAAAAAAGATTTGAATTTTAAATTTTATATTTGCAAAGTGTTTAACACTGAAAACATTTATTTGAAATTTTACATTAATATTAAGGCTCAACATGTCGCCTCAGAATGCTGCAATGAAATTTCATGGATTAGAAAGAAAAAAATATAAATTTTCGTCTGAGCAAATTTAAAGTCGAAAGTAAAATATGAAATAAATGTTTAAAGAACTTGACTGATGTCTAAATGTAGTTGGAAAGTGGCACTAATTGGTCCACCATTTGTGACCTTTAATTACCTTTTTCTGGAGAAATTTGTTAGACACCATGGGTTTTAATTGTGAGATTTTTAAGAGGGGGTTCTAGTTTTTTTATATGAACAAGTACTACCCATTAAATGGATGCATAGACGTCCAAAGATTGGAGAGACACGATCTAAGCTACACCTGCGTGAACACCTCAGTGCAACTCCGCACGGATCCAAGCGGACAGAGCTTATCAGTCTGGTTTAGGCCTGCATATGTTCAACGGCATGGCTTTACGCTCAAAAAGGTTCGCATTTTATAAATAGTTAACCCCTTTTTTTCTTCCAAACGCGGCCGTCAGACATCAGTAAGGCTGGTTTAAGTTGGGAAATCAAACCTGTCCGTGGACGGGACTCGGACAGCCGTGACAAAAAGAAGATATAGTAAACGAGTGGCCATAGAAAATAAATAAGCAAACATATAAACAGATAACCACCATTGCAATCCGTATACGGACTCATTATTTGGTCACACCAATGTAGACTACACCAGTCTCCCTATATAGATCAACATATTCGCCTGACGTTTAAATCCAGTACAATTCTTATTTAAACAACAGACAAAAAAAATGAAATAAAATATAATTTTTGATTACAAAATACACTCAAGCAGTCCATTAATGACTGCTTATTTATTTATTTTTTGCCCCTGATAAATCACAGCAATCAGGGCGTAATTGCATGGGCATTTGGCAAAAACAAGACCTGGAGCGCACAAAGAAAACCAGTTTCTACGTTTTCTTTTTCTCTTATCAAAATCAGTGTGATGCGTAAAATCGTGGCCCATGAATCGTTGCTTCATATTAGCACATTCGGTGTCCTCGAACTTGAAATTAACAATCTAGCAGTGTTATTGCTGCCGTCGCCGGCCACTGTGGTATAGCACACGAGGTACACTGAGGAGAAGTCAGTGAGTCTGTGAACAAACCCCATGTAGTCCCACAGGAGGGGAGGGGGGGGAACCGAAGCAATGTGCTTCTCCTCGTTTCTGGGTCCACTAAAGCAGAGGATTGGACGTGTAGTACTGTAACCTGTCTCTGTTCAGCTTCTTTTCCTTCATCCGCCGGTTCTGAAACCAGATCTTGACTTGTCGATCAGTGAGGTTGAGCATCCGCGAAAGCTGCAGTCGCTTCTCTTTGTTGATGTAAACGCTGAAAAAAAATTCTCGTTCAAGTTCTCTGATTTGATATTTGGAATATGGACATCTTTTCTTGCGCGTCCTCTGCCCACCTGGAAAGCACAGGGAAAAAATCAGAGTGTAGGCACTGTAATAAACAGAAGATCTATAAAAAAGCCAACGAATTTTGCCTGTAAAACATTATTTTTGATCAATTTTTTATCATAATGCACAAGATAAAATGAGCTAGGGTTGCAGGCTTGCGGGATAATCCATTGCAGTCTGATCTAGATCACTATAACAAGGTCATTTGTGCAAACATGTTTGAGAAATTAGCTCTATTGCTCATTGAAGAGGGGGGAAAAAACGAAATTACAGCTTTAACAGACCAGATCATGTGCGCCACAGCTTCAAGCTCATAGGCGCTACCCTTCTTACAAGCCAGAGGTCTTTTAAAGCAAAGAAAGCGTAAAACTAGCACGGTCATCATAAATGGAAATAACTGCTGCTGCTCTATATGAAGATCCTCGCTCCGTGCGCGTCACGGCAAGTCCAACAAAACACGCGAAAATGAAACACAACGTATATGATGGCCCTGCTTTCTTTCACGGCCAATTTCAATTCCAAACACGTGATCCTACAGTTTATAACAAACTTTTGTTGGAAGCTGGGTGGGGGTGGAGATGGAAGGGGGTCTACAGGCCCTCTATAAACCCTTATATGCTTATAAAACAGCATATAAAAATTTTAACAGCAGCGCGCAAGATTGCAAACTTTCTCCCTTATAAGCAGAGCCCTGAGTTTAAATACGTACTGCTGCTGCTGCCGCTGCTGGATTTCTCCTCATTGTTGCCGGAAGAAAGCTCTGGACTGCTGCTCTCATCTCGCTGCTCCTTCGCCTCGGAGTCCCGGCAGGACGGCGCCTGCTCTGGCTGCTTGCTCGCAGGCGTTTTGTCCCCTGAGAAGGCGGTGTTCACCGATGATGGGTTCTCCGACGCGTTCCCGTATGCCGTTTCGTAGAACTGGTCGAAAGCTTGCGGCAGCACGCCATTCCTGCCCACGCTCCCATAGAAAGTGGCGGCCGCCGCCGCGGCGGAGCCGGCTGCGGTGCCAGCTGCTCCCCCGCCGCCGCTGCCATGGTGGTGGTGGTGGTGATGGTGGTGGTGGTGGTAGGGGCTATTTTTACCAAACACGTCACCAACCACCGCGGTCTGCGCAGAGAGGCACTCCCGGTGCACCATGTCTTCCGCGCTCGGGTAGCACTGGGGCAAGTTCCCCCGGTGCGGCCACTTACCGGGCGCCTCGATGCCCGCATAGTCCCTGAATGTCACCTCCCTGACGGGCTGGACCTGCGGCAGGTTGGAGGAATAGGAGTATGACATTGGGCGGGTGGAAGGGGTCTGGGACAAAAACGAGGGAAGACCAGAGAAATCGGCCCCCGCCGACACGTAATAAGTGCAACTGGGCAAGTACATGTTCGATCCGACGGGGACCCGCTCGTCAAAATCCATCATCGTAGCTCGGCCGTTTCTACAACTCTGTGCTGGGCTTAGATTCTTCTATAACCGCCCCGAACATGGCTCTGAAGCGCCGTGCCTCTCGCCTCTTTGAAGCAGGTTCGCTAAGCACAAATTGGGAGACGTAAGCTGACGTGGAGAGCCATCTCCATCCACTCCACTAAGGAGGAGCCCACGTGACCACGCAGCAGGAATTGACAGATTTTCAGGCTCCGGTTGTTGTGTGCGTGGGCGTGCGTGCGTGCGCGCCTCCGAGCCCCTGGGTGTGTAATTCTTTGGTAGGGGAAGGAGTGTGTAGGAGTGTGAGAGACATGACTGGTGTGTGTCCTGAAGCTTGACATTGGTGGTTTACAACCATGCCGGATTAAAATGAATTACTTAACATGCATCTGAGGAGAAAAAAGACATTGGTGGCTAGTTGGAAAAAGATTTAAGCCTAAATTTATGCCAAACGCATCAAAAGCTTCAAAATCAACATGATAAGAGACTCTTTAATAGGGGTTTTGTTTTCTGGGGTGCCCGATTCCTCAAAGAACAATCAAAATTACTACTAAACTAAAGCTTTAGAAGCATATAGTTCAGTCTTCTGAAACCAAGGAGGGATCTAGCTTATTTATGAAGGTTGCTTTTAAGAGTTGTATCAGTCATCATCTGTTTTTTTTTTTTTTTTACAGCGCAGCATTTGTCCCAGTGAGCATTTGGTTATCAGGGTCATGTTCAAAGTAGCGGCTATGATGTTTTAACCGGAAAGGCCGTGCCTTTGTATTTCAGCACCAAACCAAAATAACTGCCTTTTGGGTTTTTAAGAAGAAAACAACGAAGGTGAAATTAAAATCCACAAAAATACATAATTTAAATTATAGGAACAACAATGCACTTTTGGTTTTATTCATTTATTTTTTGGCATGGAATACACCAGCACTTTAAATTTGCTTAATATATTGATGTAACAAATATCAGAATAAAATAAGTAGGCGTGTAATGGAATTCAGGAATAAAGGTATAAGTTTAAAACCGCCCCCAGGATTTAGCTTTGAATGTATTTATAGACCCGAATTTTCTTTTTTTTAAGGTCTTATCTAATTTTTGCTTAAAAGGAGATTTAGAAAATTATCTGATGTATAAATCGTGTTTTATCATATCACTTAGCAGCTCCAAAACAGGCCTGGGATTCCTGTACTTTTACGCACGGCTGTTTTTCTAAGCTCGTATCAAAATATGCAAACTGCTCTGCGTTGCTCAGCAAGATCAATACAAATAAGAGAATATATACGTCTCGCTCCTTTAATTATTACACTCAACCTGCTATATTGTTCATTTATTCACGTGACTAACATGAACATTTAACGAGAATGCCTAAATCTACTCAACCCTAAAACCAAAGGTGGATGCGCCATGTATAATTCCCTGCATGGCTGTGACTTGCATTGTTAATTTAAAGTCGAAGCTGAAATATCACTTGGAAAGTCCTTGCAGAAAATGTATTTAAACATCACCAGCACAAACATTTCAAATCTGCTGGATGGATACATGCAAACACTGTATTCAGCAAGCAGAAGACAATAACAAAAATAAAGAAAACTGTGCAGAGCTTACAAAGATGCATCTGTGCTGTTTCATCCGGTAAACATACCACAAAGAACATTCCGCCCTGCTCTACTCTGCTCAGGGGGGCCACCATGAAGCCTGTTTTAGAGAGGCTGCAACCTGACTCTAATGTGCTGTGAATAAGAGACCTGAGCTTGGATTAAGATCGCCGCGGCTGGTCTAGCCCCCACAGCCTGATGGCGCATACACGGATTCATGTAACACATCTGAAACACAACACACTGCTTAATGAAGTCAGGTTGCCCACAGACGCATCATCTGGATTTAAGAAAAAACATGCAAACACCAAACGATATCAAGCTTCTTTTTTTTCTTGCCTAAAGGTTGGATTTTTTTCTGATTGCATTGCAGGGGACACAAACGACTTCAGTGTCTTTGCGGTCGCACGCTCCGCCTCTCAGGGTCAATCTAGGCAAATTCTATGAGTTGTGCTGAAGCTTTTAAGCTGTAATTGAGGACAGGATGCCCAGGAAACAAACCGCAAAGCCAGCTCTGCACAGACCTTCGATTTTATAGCTGCTATAGTATTCTACTTGCCTTTTTTTTCTCCACAGCAGAGCCAGACAGACACCACAAAACTGGCCAGGCGTGATGGGAAGTCGCCACCTACGCGGACTCAAAGTCAGCAGCTGGGGAATTTCAATAATTATAGAAACATTTGTCCATGCGCAACTGAGGTAAGATATTTTTCTCACGCTTAATAAGCCTTCTAAAAAGTTTCTCCAAATGCAAGTATTGAATTTCAGAAACCTTTTTTTGATAAAATAATAATAAAAAAAGAAATCAAACAAAGCTTTGGTTCATTTTATGACAAATGTGTTTTTTATTAAAAAGTCGTTTTCAGTATTCTGGCGTGGTTCTGTTTTCCAGCAGGCTTTCAGTCTGGCGTTGGATCCGTAAAAGAAAAACTTTCAAAGCCAAAACCTTTGTCTCTACGGTCGACTTCAAGTTCGGGGGAGGAACAGGGTCTCTCCTAAGAAAGAGCGAAGGGCCCAGCGTGCCCCGGATGGAGTTCCATTTAATTACCTCCTGCATCCACGCAGGCTTTATGTTACAGGGTCGTTTGGAAAGTAGAACTTAAACTTCGACGTAGCCATGTCCACTAGAAGGATTGGGGGACCAGAACGTTTTTTGTTTTTTTTACTAAATAAAACAAATTTACCTAAAAATCTGCTTATTAAACCAAATGTAACTAGAGGGCCATTCAGCAATAGTGTCATTGTTCGTACTTTGACTCTGGATAGTAGTAGTCTCATTTTACAAACTCTTTTAGATTTTATTTTGAAACAAATTAACTTGATATACAATTTTCATTCTTTACTCTAGCCATATTATTATCCTAAGTTTCTTTTGCGCAATATTTAAAGTCTGAGACGAAAAAAACACACGCATGATTAATTTATCCAATTGCATTTGGATTAAAAAGTTAGATTACACAAGAATAACAATTTTTAAAAAAGGGGAAAGAGTTTATTAGGACTGGTAGAAGTGCATTTGCTCAGTCCTTTGGAGAATGTATAGTCTTGTGCCATAAAATCTCCTCAGACAAAAAGTAAACAATCGAGAGTAAAGGGGTGGATATGTAGGAATACAGTTTAACACCACCTCAGGTAGGCCTAAAAGGCTGTAAATGGGGGCTAAATATGTGCCCCCTGTCTGCAGCAAAGTAACCTCCTGTAGTTTCGGTCTTTGATTGGAATAAAGCGTCCTAGACTTTGACCAATAGCCTTTTTTTTTGTTTTGTTTTCATTTAATGGTTAAGAAGGCCACAGCAACTGCGACTAAAAGCCTTTTCTTTAATTCAGCATATAAAGACTGTGTAGAATTCTGAAGGGTGACCCCCCACTCCCCAAAAAAGAAGCTCAAACATAAGGGAAAATGCGCTGATGAGGCAAATATAGAAGATTAGTGCTGAATTCAAGCTCTAAGGGGCGTTTTCTCCCTAAATTGGTAAATGCGTCTTTGCGTAAATCGGAGTGAGGCCCTACATTTCTGCCTCCCCCTGCTAATAGGTGATTTAATAAGTAAACCATTTTTATTTTTCTTGGCGCGGCTGAATTTGATTAATTGAATGACATGAATTTAAGCAATAGCTCCGGAGCGCTGCTGTCCCAACCTTATAGTGGAACAGACTGAAACATGAAACAATCTCAGCTTCCAAATGAACAAGCATCGATATATAAATGCGCCAAAGTCGATGCATTTGGATCAAGATTCAGTGAGAAACTGTTGATTTATCCACAGGTGACAGAAATGTGAGCAGACGGGAGATTGCGGCGACAGAAAAAGAAAGTGCGGGGAGGCCATACAGGCGGACCACACAGGGGGGGAGAACCGATCAACTCCACGGTCAACGGGAACAGTCCTTTCTGGAAAATCAGGAAAAGCGAAGCTGTCCCGAGGAAAATATGCACATAACGTGGACTATATATGAGGAAATAAAAAGGAGAGTAAACTAAGCTGCTATTCAGACGTTTAATATCGTTTTTATTTAAATGAACTTGGAGGGAATAAGAAGACACCAATCGGGGAATAACTTTTTAGTTATATTACTTGAAGAGAAATTCCGGGAATTCATTATTTCAATTCAGCTCTGCAATTTCTATCTAAACAAATATACAGAAAGGATTTAAGTTTAGACGGATGTTGTCTTCCTTATAATTGCTTGCTTTAGCTTTTTCTTTATTTCTAAATAGGAATGTGTAATTCCTCCTTAAACCCTGCTGTTTTGTGTAAAAGATATTAAATTCTTAAAATGTTCTAAAAAGAAAAACCTGGCAGAAGAGCAACTTGGTATCAACAAACACATAGAAGAGTTTGTGTAATTACAGACATAGAAAAAATAGCTAAATTTTTAGTATTGAAATTGTAACAATGGGTGCTGAAATCGCTGTATGCTGCATAGGGGGGAGTTGCATGAATTATTTTGATAAATAGATTAATATAAATACAAATTGTGAGTAATTGCGGTATATTTAAGGAAATTGTGTAAAGAAAACAATTTTTCGATTGTTATTAAATAGTTAAATGGTCACTTCTCCCTGGCTATCAGACTGCTCATTATCTTTAAAACACTGTACCATTTGCATACTGCAGCTACTCTTTTTGCTCTTACATGTTATTCTTTCTTTTGATATTCTTTGCATAACATCTATTTATATACATATGTAATATGCGGGCAGTTTGTATCTATTATTTATTGTCTGAAGCCAACCCACAACATCTAGTTGGCAGATTTCACTTTGTGTCGTCTGTCCAATAATAAGAAAGGAAGTCTAAGTTCATGGTCCATGTGACCATTACTCTTTATTAATAGGCTGAATTTTGTTAAAATGACCGAAAATTGCAACTTACAAGCGCATCATTTTTGGTCTTAAACATGCCCTAAATCTGTAATTAAATAATTTCAGTCCTGATTTCCCCATCGGATTTACAATCTAAACAAGTTTGATTTTTTTAATGAAACCAGGAAAAAAAACTACAAAAGGACAAGGTCCATATAAGAACTGGTTGAAAAGTAAAGAAAGCGGATCACAGGAGCTAAATAAGTCTCGCGTTCAGTGTCTTGGTTATGGCTAAATCGGAATTGAAAAGTCTAGTTGTCAACATATTATTTCTAGAAAAAAGGAAAACTAAACTAAATTATCTATTTAAAGATGAAACAGCTCTGCTTTTCGTGGAAAGCATGACGTATGCATGATTTATTTTTTATTTTTTATTTTTTTTCTATACAAGGACTTTTCCTAACAGAACATTATACAGGATGCACAATTCACTCCAAATGACATGATAATAACCAGGAGGGAGAAAGCCTGGGCCCTGAGCGGAACATTGCATATCATCTCCGTCAAGTGCTTGCATTTGACCGCTTCTCACGGATCCTGGATCAGCTTATGTTTGCCAAAGTCTGCATGCTCTTTTGCAAGAGCATCTCCAAGATTACCCCTTTGCAGGCTTGAGCAGGACTACACCGAGTGTCCTGAAGGTTAAAGAAGGCGTCGCCTCCATTACACTCAGAGACAGCGAAGGTCAATGTAAAGAGCAGCAGCGGCGCTGGACGGAATGACAGAGAGACGGGGGGACATTCTGCTGTGTGAACTGATCTGATCAGTCAATACTGCATTTTCTACTCCGAATTAATCAAGTTTGTTTCTTTTCGGACGTGGAAACTTGGCAAGTGACTGTTTTTAGAATGTATTTCATTTGATTAAAGAAAATACTGTGATGGCACTGATCCAGTTCTGACTGTTTTTTTAATTGTTTTTTTTTTTATTGTTTTTTTTTTTATTATTAATTTTTATTTTATTTTTGTTTCCTTTTGATATGATCATGCCAATATAATAGCCTAGCAATTCTACACATTTATTTTTTTTATTATTTACCAACAAACATGTAGACAAAATGATAATAAACCAAAGGCTTTGCTGGATATTGTCGCTGTATAATTGAATAGTTGTGTTCAGTTAAATAACAAACAAAATGTAATCCCCAACGCTTCCTAGGTGGGGCAGCAAACTTCCATTCTTGACTTTCAGCTTTTCCACTCAAAGATGGCTTATGTCTGGAAAGAGAACAGGAAGGCGTGACGTCTGCCTGTTCCTTCACAGGCTGGGGGCGTTTGTTTTGGTTCTCCTCATCCAATAAGAACTCTTCCCATTTTACCCCGACCAATGAGCTGCTTCTCTCCTAAAATCACTTCCAGTGCGCTTCCTGTAGGCTTTTCCGATTGCTCTCTTGCTTCCCAGTAAAACGCTGTGCAGTAACACATCTCACTGGCTGTAACCCATCTTTAAACGTGTCATTTGACACATTCACGCCCCCCGACGTGAGAAGGCTGCAACACCCCTACTGGTGCTGTACGTCCTGTCTTCACGTCATGGCCACCATACTATCTGTTCAGGCTTCACTTCTTCTTCACATTTTCAGCCATCCTCAAAAGAAGCTGTTTGTTTATGGGCCTGCCTTTGTTGGTTATTGACTGTTTGTTTTTCACGATTTTTACAGTTTTATTAAAGGTAAATCTATATTTTTATTTATTCACCTAAAGAGGAAAATAGTCTGGTGTTAGATGTTCTATTTGCATTATGCAAATGAAGACTTTTGACATATTATGGCCACTATGGAACAATGTCATCCAAGGACTAAAGGGGTTTGGATAATAAAATTGATGGAATGGCGAAACATTTTTATTATTTACCATAAAATGTGATGCAACTAATAGAAATACAAATAGATCTGATATTCTTCTTTATTTTATTATCATTATTATACAAATCAGTTTCCTGAAATGTAAAGTATTTTGGCAGTAACAAATCTACCTGTTACTTTAATTTAAAAAAATCTGATTAAATCATAATCAAATAATTCAATGTGTGAGGTACTATTTATTAAATGGGTGAGAACTAGTTTTAGCTGTTTATTTCATATATTTAATCTATCTATCTATCTATCTATCTATCTATCTATCTATCTATCTATCTATCTATCTATCATCTATCTATCTATCTATCATCTATCTATCTATCTATCATCTATCTATCTATCTATCTATCTATCTATCTATCTATCTATCTATCTATCTATCTATCTATCTATCTCTATATTTCTGGAACTGACACGACATTCACGCAGTTTATAGTTAACCGTATGGAAAATATTTAGCGCACGATTTATTTAGAAAAATTTAAATAAACTTTAAATGAACTGCCACCTAAACTTTGGCTTTTGAAGGCATAAGAACTTAATTTAACTTAATTTATTGTTTTCTTATATTTGATTTTTAAACAGATATCAATTTTTTTTTTTACAATGTTTGCAAATATCAATAAATATCAATATTTTTGTATTTGTTGTTTTTCTTCGATGTTCATTAAAAATCCAAGGGTTTAATTTTTATTGTGGGAAATATGATGATGAATTGTATTTACTATATGTCTGTTTTACACACTTAGAGCTGAAGGATTTGCGAAGCAGCCCTTTCATTTAGTTCACACGGTTTGGTTAAGTGGGTTTTGTAGTTTCTTTAGCTGAGCAGAACAGTGTATTCCTTA